AGGAGAAATGTTTCTTTACAGTACAATAAACAAATGTTTCAGGGTTTAACGCCCATTTATTCTTTGGGTGAAAAATAATAAACACCTCTGAAGTGTTAAGGTTGTGTTATTAGCATGCAGCCAAGCATAAGATAAGGAAACGTTCCCCTAAACCTATCGAGGTTTGCTACGATTCATAATACCAATCATATTGCGTCCTTACAAACGGGAAAACTTTCATGCGAGTGCAATATGAATTTTGAAGTGCACTTTAATTGTTACGCCTTTATCAGAGGTGCATTTATTACATCGTTTTTCATACTTCAATGAGAGAGAGAGAGAGAGAGAGAGAGAGAGGAAGGGGGAAAAGGGGAACGTTGTACTGTTTTTCTTTTTTTATTTATGGTTAAAATCAAGTGTATAAATCTTCACGAATGCCTGCCTGCAATGATTTAAAGTTTGATGCAAGAGTAAATAAATAAATAATAATAAACGAAAATAAAGAATATCAACATTTTTTATTCTTATATATATGTATGTGTATGGGCTTTTGAATTTCAAAACTACTATAGAAAAAAGTTCGTTTTAAGCCGTATCAGAAGCAAAGGTAGGTTATCAGTTTTAAATAGGAAATTTATAAAATAATTTCACAATTACAGAATGATTAAAAAATTGCATCTTTGTTAAGGAGACAATTTGCGCATTATTTCTAGAGTTGACAAGTTTGAATGCCACCTAAAAATATCTTTGAGAAGATTCTTTTGATCAATCTCTTTGAATGCGTGCTGCCTCCTTCGGTTTTCACACATTTAGACAAAAATTGGTCCTTTTCAAGCAAATAAGCAGTATCTCTACCCAGGTGGGCTAATGCAACACGGCACAATCTTTGCAACCATTATAAAACAGTGAGAGCATAAAACTGTACCATAAAAATATCCATACCAAATATTGATCTCCTAGGTTGTTAATTTTTTTTCATCATACAAATAAATTCAAACGGAGCGTGTTTAAAACTCTGCACATCATGTCCTTGTATTAATGTACATTATTGAGGATTTAGTCCAACTTTTGAAATAATATAAGTAAGTTGCGCCATTAAAACGTAACAAGTTGTATCCTCTGCGTTACCACATTGAGAATAAAATTGGAGTCATTTGGCTCTCTAGTCAGAGCCCAGCACCCCTTGACCCTCATGGAGTTAATTTGATTCCTATATAAGGGTCAAATTACCCCACTACCAGAGTCTTTAGACTCTCTTATCAGAGCCAATCACCCCCTGGCTCTCATGGAGTAAATCTGGCTCTAAAATCAGAGTCAAATTACCGGAGGCCAGCGTCTGGCTGACCCCTTTCACCGACTCTTTTCGCTCGCTGGACAGTTTTCATCATCCTTTGTCAGTATAAACATTACTTTATTGGCCATAGTTGGTTTTATGCATGAACAAGTGGTTTTCGGTGTGATTTTGCATGCAGAACTCGTGCACTTATTACTGGCCCGGGCTTTCAGTTGCCCACACCCTTTAAGTGATATGTTGGTATACAGGTTAGAGTGCCCGCCTTCTGAGCGGGAGGACTTGGGATCAAGCCCCACCGGGGACATACCGGTCTCTAATAAACGGCACCTGCTGTCTCCCCGCTTGGCACTGTTGTTGCAGCTGTTTCGTTTTTCAATCAGCCAAGGAGTCAAAAATTCCTTAATATGGGGTCATGGTGACTCTTTTGCAGAGATAAATCAAGGGATGAAGGGATATGTGAATGGAGTCAATTGTGACCCTCCTGTGGGGTCTGGGATGGTGTTACTCCATCGGAGTCAACTTGACTCCAATTGGGAGTTATTTTAGGCACCGCTGCTGGACTCCAAGTTTAGTGTCACTTGGACTTCGATTTTATTCTCAGTTCACTGAATGTGCAGTGTGATACGTGAAGAGAACATGAAATATTACAATATGTTTTTATACTCCTACATATGAAGCTATTTACTCGCAGTGTGTAGTGCAGAAATCTTATTATAAAAAAGTGAATACAATCATAATTTATGATATTTTTGACATAAAACGTTATTTCAGAATTCAAACACGTACGTCTAACAAGAAGGTATCAAGTTATAAGTAGGCATGCAAATCGATACGTTTTAAAATTCTCTTTACTAATGGTAATTATGTCAACTAAAAAAAACTCGAATTTCTAGTGCTTTAAAATATTTGGTTTTTTTTTCACGACTCGTCTCTCATGACTTATTATAATCATGGCCTTGTCTCCACATTATGTAGGCCGTCAAGGCACCATCACTAACGGGCTCCAGAGTTTGATCTGCATCCGGATCGTCTTGGACATCCAAAATGGTTACTGCCGGGCGTAACTGACACAAGCAATCCAATCGCCAGCTGAGATGCCGTCTACAATTCTGTTTTAACTTTTCCCGCCTTCTTGGCTTCTGCGGCCTTTTTCGCGTGGAAATGATCGTGATCGTCGTCATGGTGATCCGGCACACCGTCGCCATCGTCGTCATGATCTAAGTGATCCGGTATGCCGTCTCCATCAGCGTCTGCGTGATCTACAGAAAAAGATAAAGGGCAAGGGATCTGTTTTGGTGTCTATTAAATATAACGTATTTATGAAAGTAAGAAGCTGATGTTTAAGCTCTTCTTTTGCAATACAATACTCACCATTTTTCAGATATGAATTAATTTTCCACAGACAAAGTACCGAGATTGATCAATTTGATTAAAAAATTCGATTTGAAACCTACCGGCTCCATATTCAGGGTGATCTTCATCATGGTGATCCGGTATGCCGTCATTGTCATCGTCGTGGTCCAAATGATCTGGGATGCCGTCACCGTCGCTATCTTTATGATCTTAAGAAGAATAACAACTTCTGATTCATTTCCCATAATCAAATACAAAGGCAGTAATTACGTGGACATTTATTAGCAACGCTTGCTATTTACTTGTTTTTCTTTACTCGGCACGATGTTGTGATAGATTCCGTTTTGTAAAAACGAGTTGACATTTGTCGAATTTTTTTCTTTTGGTCAGCCTATAAGTAGTGTGGTAGTTGAGACAAGCTGCAGTGGAAGTGATTGTGCTGTAAGGATATCAACTACATCAAATTTTGTGCCGTGTACTTGTACAGTTACATGCAATTCAATGCTCTATTCATTGTGTCAAAAGTTGAGCAAATGAGAACTGTCAAGAGGGAAATAGCTGTTTTTAATGAATTGGCTAACCTATTCACATGCTTTAATTTTTAATCCACCCAAAAGTGCCAAAAAGAAAATAATACTCAAGAGTCATATCTGAAAATCCTTTAAAGACCCACCTTTTCCATATTCATGATGATCGTCATCGTGATGGTCCGGTATACCATCTCCATCATCATCATGATCTAGGTGATCTGGTATTCCGTCTCCATCCGTGTCTTTGTGACCTACAGGGAAAAATAACATAGTACAGTGTTCTCAATTGTTCTAAGGGATACATACAATAAAAATACCAACAATAATTTTGTGAAAGTCAAATACACACGAGCACGCATGTACACAAATAAACTAAAACAACGCAGAGTCCATGTACATGTATATTAACATTAGTGGCTTGAGAACGTCTGAGACAATATAAAATTCGTAGTGTCGTTTTGGTGAAGGAGAACGTGAAATGTAGCTCACACAGGTACATGTTTGTGTCAGACGTAACTTACCATGCCAGTCATGGTGGTCGTCATCATGGTGATCCGGTATGCCGTCATTATCATCATCGTGATCCAGATGATCCGGTATTCCGTCACCGTCAGTGTCGACGAGGTCTACGAAATATTTACTTTCGATGAATGCAAATGAAGTTTACAGTGATTTAGCTTGACTATAAGCAAGGGCAATATAATGATACTTTGCAATATACGTTGTAATAACGTAAGGTGTCAATGTACATGTATGCTGGGTAACTGCTATCATACTACTAACCTGCTTTGCCCTGGGTTGCAGATTTTCTCTTATGGAAATGGCCATGATCGTCGTCATGGTGATCTGGCACGCCGTCACCGTCGTCATCGTGGTCCAAATGATCCGGTATGCCGTCCCCATCCGAGTCTTTGTGATCTACTCGAAAAATCCAAATAAAACATATTATCAGATTTAATTTTATTACTTAAAGGGAAAAAAATGCATAAATGACAACTTGTACAGTAGCTTTAGACCATTAATAAATACCTTTAGGTCGTTTTGAAATATGGGAATGTTTAACCTCATGGCATCATTGGATATAAACTATTTAAACTGTGCTATCTGGGCCTTAATGTAGGGGTTGTGTATGAGACACGTAAGCGCGTTCACCTTTCCCATATTCATGGTGATCTTCGTCGTGATGATCCGGAATGCCATCCCCATCATCGTCATGGTCCAGGTGATCTGGTATGCCATCTCCATCCGTGTCCACGTGGTCTTTTGAGAGGAGAAAATGAAATAAAGGTAAAGAAGCTAAATTAAGAGAAAATACTAATACGCATATATGCATTCAAACAACGCTGTCTCGAACTGAAAGAAATAAGCAAAAATAATAATAAGATACTTTCTAAAAACACCAACAATTGCGATATGACGTGTTATAGAATTCTATGAATACACAGCATACACGACAGAAAACAAAATCGTTTCAAATTAAAATAATTTCTAACTTAAAATGAACATGTTGCTACAAACGATGCATTGCTAACGTTATAAAGTCTAACTCTTTTTCTCAAATGACTGTACAGCTATGAATTCAAAACCAAAGGGTCGCCGTCTCATTACCTTTTCCGAATTCATGGTGATCCTCGTCATGGTGGTCCGGTATACCGTCTCCGTCATCGTCATGATCCAAATGATCCGGTATGCCGTCTCCATCTGTGTCCTTGTGACCTAAAATCCAGCATGAATATTACATGGCGTAATCCTTGGGTTGGAGCCTAAGATATTGTCAGATAGGAGTCATCAATATTTTTCATCATTTCTGATTTAAAAAAAATTGTTGTCACAAACCGTTTAATACCTACTTGTACATGCATTTAATAAATATTACTGTTTAATATTTATGATAGTTTGGGTATAAAGGTATTATATCTATGCAAAACTTAAAAAGAGACATGTTACCTGGTTGATGGGTTGTAAGTAAGCATAGCTATATAGGGAGGCTATTTGTGTTAAGATAAAGAGTATCAGACTTGTAACCTGGTTGACGGTTTCATTGCAGTGATTAAAAATGTCATGAAAAGTTAGCGGTGCAGAGAAGCAACCATATTTACCGTGCCAGTCGTGATGATCTTCGTCATGATGGTCCAGGATTCCATCTCCATCATCGTCATTGTCATGGTGATCTGGTATTCCATCATTGTCGTCGTCATGGTCCAAGTGATCCGGTACGCCGTCCCCATCCGAGTCTATGTGCTGGTGATCCTGGATTCCATCGCCGTCATCGTCGTGATCAATTGCATCCGGTATGCCGTCGCCATCTTTGTCTGTTTGGAACTGTGTGTACAAATGCATTGCTGTCATTCATATATATATATACACAGATGTTTATGGTATCTTTGATCATCTTTTTATACTGCATACAGGTCCTTCGTTATTTCGTAAAATATAGTGTTTCATCATGGACAGGTAGAAAAAATGATTTAGAGACTCACGGACGGATGCTTTATGTACTCGGTAGTAAAGAATTCCGAAATTTTAATCAATTTTTCAAATGAATTTTTGGAAGAGTAGACACTAAAATAAATCCCGCTCGGTTTTCGTGATATTCTTCATCAGGCGGAAGACTGTTTGAAGCTGCTATTTGTAAGCTTATAAGGACACGCAACACCTACCTCGTGAAGATATGTCGCTAACTTTTCTTTCGTTTTCTCCCCCGTGTAAAGAATCTTCTTTCCCTGCCAGTAAACAACGATGGCACCCCATTTGCCGAGTCCTGAAGCAGACTGCATACATAAAACACAGGGAAAATAGTAGGGCCCATAGCAGCCTGTGAACATCTCACGCTTTGTGCGTGTATATGTAAGTGGTGAGCGTTTTTAGTGGGTGGTGAGTGTTTGTGTCAGTACAAGGAATCGGATATCAGAGAGAGAGAGAGAGAGAGAGAGAGAGAGAGAGAGAGAGAGAGAGAGAGAGAGAGGTGGTTACCCTGTTTCTGAGCGATGCTGACGTCGCCCACTATTGCTGCATTTATGTGTTCTGTTAATATTGGAAGCGTTTCCTGAAAAAAATTCAGAAAACACCTTTAGGGTACGCTTAAATCGCTGCAATCTGAGATAAAAGCATCAAACCAATAATGTAAAAACATGATTTATATCTATAAACGCGACACACCCTCTGCACAGGTTGGAAATCGTCACTAAATAAGCTTGAACAAATTATGCTTTATATCCATTTTGATGAATCTGGAGATAAAGTAACTTACGTTTTATGATATTTTGAATGTATCGTTTTAAAGCAAGGAGCTGTATGTGTCCAATCCTATTTTAAGCCAGAGGTTGAGAAGGGGGGAGGTAAGAGACGGTCATTTCTACTTGTTGGAGACGTCACACCCAATTAACGGGTATAAAGAGAGTCCGCCGGCTGGTTATTTACGCCACGGTATACTTCTTGAATGTGACAATAAAGATGTGCCTCGCTTCTGCCAGCTGATCCCCAAGTGACATACTGCGCAATATTCCTTTCGAAATTTGTAGTAAGTACCAGTATGTGGTAAATATGGACTTGTGTAACAGGGCACTATGTCTTTGTGACGTGTTCATCCCTGACGTGTTGCCGTGATCACGCTCTGTCGCGTGTGACCGAGTAAAATGCGCTCGTTGGACTTTGGTTTGATCCCAGGCATTGGAGCATAGGAAGGTGAGGACAATACAGTCTATGTTTTAAAAACACACACGGTGAAATACTTAAAACGCTGCTCTCTTCTGCCCTTTTCTGCCAAAACACTTTTTTTTTGGAAAAATAGGAGACATAGAATTGTGTAACAGAGATAGTCAATACCTCACTGGGAAAATAAAATGAGACAGTATATGTTAAATGAGCGTTTCGTTTAGCATGGTAGGTGCCCTGCTCCTCATTTCAATATTTTTATGAATTTACAACTTCGACAATAGCTTTGAGAAGTGGCAATAGCTCAATAAGCCAGTGCTACACTTGCTTGTCCGGCTTGTGAGTGAATTTGCCATACGAAACGAGTCGAAGCAGACAGAAGTACAGTGGGGTTACACGAGGACGCGTGGGGGTCAACCTTACCATTCCCATTTTTTAAAACAAAATGGCAGATTTAGTACCCATCCGTTTTCCGATTGTGAGCAAACCTCCAAAAGCAAGCCAAGATAGGGAACCCTCGCACAAGAACCCATGTGCCACAAAGTGCAACAAATTCTACCTCTTTGAAACGAGATGCTTTGATTGGGGAGGGGGGGGGGGGGGTAAAAATATATCCCTAAAGTTACAGCCTAGATCCGCCAGGATGTGTGGTCCCCAATATGCGCTCTTTCTTTACCTTCTATTTTTGTGCGTAGTTAATTCAATTAGACAAAAAAGATATTAGAAACCTTTACAATGTAGAACTTTCAGCCATATACATGTAACAATGTCTGCTCTGGAAGAAACTAGAATGTCTACTTTCACGAAATGGTTCATTTCCGATGAAAAAAATCTCCCTTATCAACGCCTACTTCTCTGCCTATATATAATATAACAAGCTATCATTTGTAAGATATCTGTAGCATTATTGAGTCCATGGCTGATGATTGTTAAGTAAGACCGAAACCAGAGTCTTATCTATAAAAAAGGCATTGGGGAACTTTTAACAGACAAAAATGCCTCGTCTGTTTAAATCAGCTGTGATTATCAATACACGCTGTGTTACCATGTCGGTTAAAAAAAAACACTGAACACTAAACAGATTCTTACCTGGAATAGTTTTTCTCCGCAGTATGGTGGGAAATAAACTACTGAAAGTTCGCCGCTGTCAATCAGCTTCTTCAAGCCATTTTGATCCGTCTTAACGACCTTGTCCGCAATGTTACTGTATGCCGCCGAGATTAACATGCAGCTGACGATCAAATGTACCAAACAAATCACTGGTTTGCTCATTTTTTGAAGTTTTAAAATATTTTTTTTTTGTTTATTCCTGGCTGGTGCCAAGTCAGGTAATGATTTTGTGTTTTGCAGAGGAGGACAACTTCCGGCACACCCTTTACCCCGCCGCGTCTCAGCAGGGACTGGTGTTGTTGTTAAAAGTGCGCTGTTGAACACAGCGTCCACTTGAAACTGTAACAGTATATTGTTAGGAAAATTGTAGGGTTCCGGACTTTGCCGGGTTCACTGACCAGTGAAAAGAAATAAGTAGTATAGGACTTACGTAGAGAGCGTCTGTGCGTATGTGAAGGGAGGGTGAGAAGGAAGGAAGTTGTCGAATGAGATTTAATATCGTAGAACCCAGAAAAAAATCTTAAACTAGATTTTTATAACCGGACATGACTGTGCAAACAAGTTTTTGAATAAACCTTTTATATGGATGGACAATTTAAAGGAATCGTCTGCCTCGTCCATGCGGTATAAGTGAAATTCGCTGCTAGCTTAACCCGTGACCTTTGTACGACCAATGACTGCGGAGATCACATTACCTCAGTTCCCATTTGCTGCTTGTCATATCTCACATACCTATTGTTCTTTGACAGCATCTTTTATTGTTGTAAACGGTACGATGCGCCTCTTGTCAACGCTTGGTAGGAGATAAAGACCGTCTAGTAATACCCGAAATAAACTTGTTATGCTCTAACGTCACCATGTATTTAACACTTTGCTGCGACTCCTTGCACGCGATTTAAGCGGGATGAAAATGGAACATGATGGCGCTGGCTCACGGTATCTTCGATAGTATCTTGAATGTGTTGGACAATTCAATCTGTATTAAAGAGAGCAAACCAGACAGAAAAATAGACGGACAGACAGATAATGGTACCTGATCTAAAACAGATGAGAAATGCTCATTTCTAACATTTTCTGTCTTAAATGCTTATGATTTAAGGAACCCAAGACGAAAATCTTCGGCAATTACTTGTATTGTTCAGTGCCGCAACGGCTGTTAACTAAAATTCATTTGTAATATTTCAGCATACCATGTATGTTTGGTTATGAATGGTATTATTGTGAATAACGCTTAATTCAGGTAAATGTAAAAGACAAGAATGTAAAATATAAAAGAAAAAGAGATTTAAGAAATTATGAGCATATATTTGGCTGCATTAAATAAGATTATGTCAAGTATGTTAGGTCAATCACGCACCTGAAACTCCCTACATAAGTATATTCCAGGGGCGCCTTTGACGCGCTTGATAAACATGTTTGTGTACCTTTAAAATGTTTACGTAATAATCCATGTATCTGATGTCTAGATCTTCCGATGCTGTCGGTGCGAATTATTGTTCCTATAACATTTGCTTTTGACTAAAGTAAGTGATTACGTCATCGGACATGTCTCGTTTTCGCGCGCCGCTGCACACGCGCTGAGGGCCATGCACCATATACGCCAATCTTTGCTCTAGGTATCTAAAATAGAGTCTCACACAGCTTTCCAGTTTATATTGAACCCTCCATGGCTTAAGCGAAGAAGTTTCATATGTGAGAATCTGTATTTATACACTAAACAATTGAAACAAAAATACATGTGAAAATTTCGGCCATGAGCTTTGTTAACAATATAACATGCCTACGCCTTACAATTTCATTCAATAATCCTGTCAACATGTGTACATGGATATGTACGAGCTGACAGGCATTTTTTTGAAGTAATTTTAATAGATTAAAATTACAAAACTTTTTTTGAAGAAATATCTGTTTGACGTCTGGAGAAACACATCCACCCAAGATATTCAGATAGACTTGATATTTTCTACTTAATATTCTTCAAATTCAATTGAAACTTTCACGTTGCGAATGTTTTTTATAGTTTCGTCAATTATTGTAATTAGATGCTGTTTTCTTAAAAATGCAATTTATTTTGACTCATCCCTTTTACACTCTTCCTCTCCCAAAATGAAATAAGTAATAACACATTCTATGATGGATTTCCAAATTAAATGTATTTTCACTTTTGTGTGTAAAAATGGTAGGTATGACCAACACGTATGACCAAAAACGACATGATGCAAAATCAACAAACGAAAAGCAACAAAGATGTCATTTAGAAATGATGTAGTTTTCATCGCCGCGAACGGAATTCACAGTTGAGAATTATTTTGATGCAGCTGTCTGCTTGTGGCAGAATTTTAGCCGCTTTCCTTTACTCTGGGGATGAATGATACTCCATGTTTGATAAACAATGTCGTTTAACACTTGGGTGCTTCAGTTATATGAAAAAGTCTTGCGTTGATTGTCAGCCTTATTGTTTTTAGCGTGCTGGTCATTAAATGTCCTTGACCCCATAAACATAATTGGCTCTGTTGATTGGTTTCTGACAACCTTATGTATCCAGAAATATCTATCGTTTTGCGCTGTTAAAAAGCACAGGACTGAACTAGCACCTATGGCGTATGGCGGCGAGGAGCTGTTATGACTATGTATGATATCACATGTTCTACACGCGTGCACATAAAAAGTTATCACATTTATTACAGACCTTTACACAGTACAGACGCACAGCAAAATGTATTGATGTTGAACTTATATATGTTGAAAAAGGGGACATGAGCTATTCCAGACGATGACTTACAGAAGTCTCTTTATAAATGTATTTCAAATATGAAATGGAATCGCGCCCAATTTTCTAGCACAAATTTGTATTTCTACTTAACAACGCACTGCTGCCGTGGAAAATGATGTTTTGATACGCCAAGTTTTTCCTTCTTTGAAAATGGTTTTGAAGTGTAAAAGAAATTATGTTTGGATAAAAAAGCACATTTATATTTTGGAAGATCACATAAATCATCATAACTCGTCTTTAGTCACTTCCTCATAATCTGGTATTCCATCACCATTTTGGTCTTCGTCTAAATAATCTGGTATTCCATCACCATCATCGTCGTCATCTAAA